GACTCAAATCAGCATGTTGCACTGGTTGGATAGGTTTCTATGCTGTTCCTTTAGATACAGATTCAGATCACTACAGCCCCCTGCTACTTCCTGCCAAATGTGGACAAACACTACATGCTTTGACAAGATTTAGCCCCAATTAAGCAGTTCTGCGCATACAAATTCAGAAAATATTTTTTTCAGAATCCAACCATCATGTTTCTCCTTTGTGGCTTTCTCACAGCAGTTCCTCATCTGGAAAATTTGGGTTGGGAGAGGACGGTAACTTTGGGTTTAATTAGTTGAACTAAACTTGATGAGATCTTGTGGTGTGCATCCAAGCTAAGATAAAACCAGGGGAGAGCCGAGTTTTTTAGTTATCTCTCACTGTGAGCTGTCCTCATTAAAACACATGTGATGGTTGTCTGTGGAAGATTAAACGAAAAACACCATGAGGTGCCATTATTATAAATACTGAGCTCTGCTGATTGCAAACAATTGTATTTATCATCCCGCTCCCTTTACTTAGCAAGGAATTTGTCTTCTAAAAGTCCATCTATTTAGCTTTAACAAGTGTTGAGGGATATTGCAAATATTGCTTGTTGTGGATGGAGAATGGAGGTAGCAGCTGTGCAGAAAGCATCTATACTTTTTTTTTATGCTTCAACAAATCTATAGTTGATACATTCAGTGAATAAACAGCCAGACTCAGCCAGGTGAAATGTAGGCAGGTAGTTGGAAAGACATTATTTCATTTAGTGAGTCACTCCGAGTTGGAGTCGTTATGAAACACGAGGACACCTGGCGGCTCAGTTGGCTCGGACACGTGCGGCAACTGACATTAGCTGAATCTCATTTGGTTGGAGTGTTAACTTCACCCAACTATGAGAGGCAGCCTATGTGCGATATGCGTCAGATGGAGGGACTCTGGAATGGAGGGGCAAAGAGGGGGAGTGAAGTGGTATAAAAACAGAAATGGAACAATGTCAGCCCCTGGCCATTTCATCTTCTCTCTAAAGGAGTGTCGTCACATTCTGTTAAAAATATAATTATATTATCCGCTCGTTGCCATCTTCACCTTCATATCAGTTGTTTGAAAAATTCAAATGGATGAATGGATGGAGCCTTGATGGAGCTGGTGCATGAAAGGCAGACAACTTTAACCCCTTATAGCCTCTCAAATGGGTAATCATTTGTATATATGTACTGTAATGTACATATTGGACCTCATTTACACTTCATGCATCTTGCACGTCTGATCTCACATAAAAGCTAAGTGTCAATGCAATCAAGAAGCATTCAAGGCAAAAAGGCAATGTCAATGTAAGCAAATGTCTATATATTTGGATTTTATCTGGATATGGGATGCTTGAAAGACTGAACATGTGGCCATGGTGGTTGCTGCTCACCTTGTGTGAATCAAAAATGTATAGGCAAAATCATTTGAAGATTGTTTTACCTTCATTTCCGTTTGCCATCTTTCACACCTTAAAACTGCAAGAAATTCAAATAAAATTGGCCAATCTCCACCTGAGTAGACAACAACAGGGGACAAGGCAGTCCTCAAAGGCATAACACATTCGGGTGTAGCACTGGACTCCCCGAAGTGTGAATGAGGAGGGGAACTTTAAACACTTGTAAATGAGATTCAGCTAGACATCCTGGGTTTGAACGTGTCTTAGGATGCTGGCTGAACAGCTTCCTTCACTCTCTTTTTCCAGTTTTTTTGTGTATCATTCCGCCCAGACTATACCAAGAGGGGAGAAGTAGCTTCAAAAAGTGACAGAAAGCAACCAGTCACTGGTTGTTGGCAAAGAGAGGAAATTGAAGTCTGGGGAAATAAAAAAGAAAAGATTTCACTTAGTCACAGTTAAGAAATAAATCATTCAGTCACCCAAGAAGCAGTCAGACAGGTAATAATGGCACAAATACTGAAGAAGTCATTGAAGTATGGAGGAAGTCAGTTACTTCAGCTCAACCTCTGAGGAGAAACGTCAGCTGCTTTCAAAACACAATATATTCTTCAAACCTTTGTTCACAAGCAATGTATCTCTGTAGACGTGATTGTGTGAATATGATGTACTGTCTGTGTTCGTATGTTAGTTATGTTAGAGTGTGTTAGAGAAGCTATCTGTAGGCGTGTGCTTCTATGTGCTCATATAATTGAGTATTTTGTGTGTATAGAGTTTTCAAGGCTCCTAACTTAAGTTTCTTAAACAAAGAAAAGCTAGCCTATCTGTCCAATCAGGCGTAAGTTCTGCGGCCTTGTGGCTAATCTCCTAACCAATTAAAATGAATGTTTTTTTTCTGCCTTTCAAGGTTTGGGTTTAACAAGCAGCAGAATAAAATATTAATTCTAACCATGCTGATAATTCACACTAAGAACAGCCAAGGACACTTGTACAAAAGTTCTTGTGCTCTTTGTATTTCTTTTTAATACCATCATGCTGACATTTGTCTGTCTGTGTGTAGACTTTTTTTTTTTAGTGAACAGTACATGACAGGAATTCAATATATACACGAAGAGTTGCCCCTGTAGAAGATGGTCTGATTAAATTTGGAGCACCTTGCTGCTTAAATTTAAATATTAATGAGCAGGGAATAATTTCCCTGAAACTACCATAATGTCTCAATGCTATAAGACAGAGTTTATACTAAAACCATGCAAAGTATGTTGACATAAATATTTTTGCTTAATTAATGAATTCAGTATCATGACTGATTATTTTTAATAAAGTGTCATGGAGATTTTGATGGGATGTTGTCAGCTTAAATGCCTCTTCTTTTATTCATACCCTTGTAAGCATGCACACATGCAAAGGTGACCGTTTACTAATTAATTCGCAATAATAATAATTACTCATCAGGTTGTTTTTGACTTTGTTTTCCACTCTGCTGCAGTGATTTCCTCTTATAATCATATTCACTGCCTGTTATAGAGCTCAAAGAGTGATACATGAATCAAATTTTAATATTAGATCTTTCTCAAAATGAGACCCCAGGTGTCACATTTTCTACAGCTGCTGATAGCTCATGGGATGACTGTGTGTTCATCCTCCTTCATCTTCTTATCCATTTCTTTTTCTGTCTTTGGCGGTGCCGCGGTAATGTTGGAGCACTCATTCCCTTTTTTGACTTCTGTTAGGAAAGATATATTCTACTTTTCCTTTCATTATACCCCATCCATTCTAATTCTTTTTGCTTCGCGTGTAAAGAAGAAACAAAAAATAGGAAGGGAAAGGAAATAGAGTTAACAGGTGGTGATGACAGTAAAGGAGAAAGAGGAGACAGAAATGGTGGGAAGCTGATCTGGTGCTGGCTGCCTGCCAAGAACTAAGGAGCAGGGAACTGAGGAATGGAGTAGATCTGGGGAGCAGAATGGAGTTGTGTAGAGCAGATTGGGTATTAAAGTTGAGAGGAAAAATGGGAGCTGCAGATAGATGGAGAGATGAGGGGATTGGAGGTTAGGAGATGAGAGTTTGGAGGTGAAAAGCAGGGGGGGATGAAGGGAATAGATAAGGGGAGGAGTGAAGTGATAGGAGGAAGAGGAGAAGAGACAGAGAAAAAGATAAAGGAAGGGAGGAAGCAGACAGATTTAGGTTATGTTCAGAGGAAACATTAACAACTGGGAGTATAGGAAACAAGAGGAATACAAAAGACAAAAGTACTACTGCTCACTGAAAACAGGGCTTTACATAAAGCTCATGTCTGTAATGCCATCAGCCAGAGTGACATCAATGCATCCATGCACAATATACAATGACAAAGTATCCTAAAACGTACAAAACACATCAATTAGTGAATAACTGAAGACACATTTGACAGTATTTCCAGGGCAGCTGTACTAATTTTCCACTTTGTCGCAAACAGTGACCAGTGAAGGCCCACTGAGCGATGCATTCATCCAGTCAAGTGCAGAAACGCGTTGTGTATCAGCAAAGGAAAGCTAAAACATCTGTCATCAGTAAGAACTGGAGACTGGTTATAAGATTCAAGTAGTTTCGGTGTTTGATCAATGACAGCACTAGCACACTGAGCCTTACCTGAAGACCTTTGTTACATGTCACCTTCAATTATCCTTTTGTACATTCCGAAATATTTAGGAAAGGCAAATATATGTTTTTGGTCATCAAGGGGCAGTAGAAATAGTTTGTAAACAAAATAATGACATATTATCACCTTATAAAGTTTAAATGGCAAATGTGTAAAAGGCTGCTTAGTTACACATCTAGCAGATATGAAACAACATCAACATTTATTTGGAGTTATGTTAAGTTAAATTATGTTAAGTCCAATATTCACTCTCTTTTACTCAGAGCATTTTCACTGACAGCAGCTGCCCAAAAATGCCCAAAATGAACCTGATGAGAGCTGTGAGAGTGAACAGAAACAGTATAGTTGTGTTTCGTCAAACCAAAACAATGATCTAAGAGAAAGCTTTGTAGTGCAGTCAGGTGGGTTCTTCACTGTGAGAGACCGCTATCACAGTCATTTGGTCCATTGTTGCATTATTGCAGCTTTAACTAGAAAATGTACGTATGACAGTGATTAGCTCTCATAAATTACATGTAATTGCACATTGTGGAAGTCTGGAATGCATCCTGATTTTATTGGATTACTTATTTAATGTAAAAATTTAAAAAGTAAGCTGAATCTAAGATATTTTAATTTGGTAAAAAAAACAAAAAAACATGATAGAATAGAAGGGAATGTAGGATATGAGTCACATTAAGTTGTATGCTGTATTTTTAAAAAGTGTATTATTGGTGATTGCCTTGTACAGGTTTTATTCTTATATTTATCCATATGATTGTCTCTATTTCCGCCCACAACATACACGTTGACTACAATAATTAACACATTTCAAAGTTAAAATTCAGTTGCATTTAAGTTATGTGATAGAACTGTGTGCAATGTTTACCTTCACCTTAACCTAAAGTTGTTAAAACATTACACATGGAACAATTACAGGTTAACAGAGATGGAGAATAAAAAGAAAAAGAAACAAACTGCGGTCAGTCTAGGAGAAAGTCATCCATTTTTGTTTTATTTTATTAGAAAATTTCCACACACCATAAAAATTACATGTACAAAACTATAAGATTTGAAATTGCTTTATGTACACATACAAAAGATAAAGCCCAAAGAAAAAGTAAGGGGAATACAGAAGGAGAAAAGTGAAGACAAAATGTTTGTGTTCTTTTTTTTTTTGGGTGTGTTTCTTCAGGTATGGGTCAAAAGGTTTGAGGTTCTCTGTCTATGTTGCTTTTTGCCAGCTTACACATCTGCAGGGAACTGTTAACAATCATGATGATAATGATGATGATGACAGTGGGGAATGGCAGTGAGTACAATTACGTGCACACAAATATGGATAGATACATTATCTCAGATGGCACCTGTGTACTTAGTATCCCATTTACAATAACCAGCATGGGTCAAATCATGAGATTGATGAGAGAAATGCTAGTATAGAGCATCTATGTTATTCTGATGATTAATATAAAGGGAGGTCTGTCAGACACATATGTAAATGTAACTCTTTAGAAGTTGAACATTAATTGAGATGTGAGCTGTTATCAATCATGCTGTGTGCACGTAAGAGAACTCCATGGTGGGAATGACTATGTGCAGAGTGCCTGGATGACTACAAGCAAGTTGTTAACAATGCAGGTGCTGTAGTCATATACAGTCATACAGCTTTTTTTCTTCACATTTAAGTATTTTCAGTTTGAATGTCGAACTCTGGACCTGTAAACTTATTCAGTGATGACAGTAATGATGATTATTTTGCTGAAAATGTTGGATTATATTAATGAGAATGAAGACTGAAATTGATGTGATTTGGCTGTTACCCTGCTACTTTATTTCTTCTCTCTTATCTGTTGGTCTGTTTCTTTCTTGACTTTGTGGCTTTCCGACTGATCACTGGGTCTGAAAGGAAGACAGAAAGAAAGACAAAGGGAGAAAAGAATAAAATTAGCTTGAGTTTTTACTGGTTTATAGTCAAAAACCTTTACTTGTGTAGGTCATAGTTAATGACTAAAGGAGTTACGGGTATGGACTCTGAGATATATAGTTCCAAACAGTAGAAAAATAACATTCATGTAACTCCCGAGATTACCAATCGCAAAGCAGAGTTTATCAACACCCGTTAGATACAGCTGTACCATATTTTCAGCCTTGGGAAAAAAAATGTGTTTAGCTGAAAGAAATGTGCTGTTTATCTGGATAACATTTGTGCTTTGTGTGTCATGGGCAAAACAATGTAAGTGTGTTCTGGTGTGTGTGTGTGTATGTGTGTGTGTGCGCGTTTGTGAGTATTTGTGTGATCCATATTTTTTTCTAAACAAGGCCAGAGAAGCAGAGTCAGTTGCATCTCTGTGGATCAGAACCAGCCAAATCAGCAACTGATGACACTAAATTATGAAAAGCACTTCATCCACCAACTTGCAAAGGGATGGCCTTGACAGACAGCCTCTTTCAGCGCAACTCTCAACTGATGAGAAAACATCTACAACCCACCTTATTCAATCACATTTATCTTGCGCTCCATTTCAAAACATTAGGACTAACACAGTGAAATGAGTCAACCTGGCTTTCTCATTCTCAGTGCTCTACACTAGATTCTGAAACAAAGGTTCAAATCCTAGGGAATCAAGTGTGTTTGAGATCAAGAAATGTAACAATTCTGTTTAACCTTTGACTGAATCATTTAATCTCTGCATCTGTTTATGCAAAACTGTTAAAACGGCAAAATAACATGATTTTTAAAAACATAAAATCCATGTCAGAGAAGTCCAGAATTTATAAATACCAGTGAAACCACATGAAGTGGGCTGTCGATTCCGCTGTTAAAACAAAGTATTAACTGCGAGAGATTATAGATTTATGGGGGAAATGTGATGGAAAGCAATTGGTCGGTCCACCGTCTCCTTGTTAAACACCAACAACTCTCCCATTGCTGGCCTCATTAGTAGTGTAATGTGAACATGCTAAAATGATTAGCTGTCACATTGTAAGTAGTCCTCTTGGGGGGAACCTAGTGCTGTTCTCAAATAGCTCATTGAGTGGCTGGCAGAAACCGAGTATATTTAAATGTTACTGGATAAAAAAATAAAGAAAGAAATGGACAAAAGAAATGTCTCCAGCAGGCCCCCAATCTAACACCAAATGGCCAGCAACATATCGATTTATCTAGACAAATAAATAACTTCGTATTTAATGGAAACAAGTTGGCAGAAAGTGTTATAATATCTGACATTAATAGAACAGAATGACAGGCGATAGTAAATAATTGGACAGTGAATACCTAGACAGTGATATATACGTTATTGAATAGTCAGAATTATTTCAAAATGCCAATGTTATTAGCAGGAAGCACAAACTTGGGCCACAAGCACACATGCTTGTCACTAACTATCTTTTGCAATTATAATGAACAAGGGCAAAATAAAATGAACACTGTGCTATAAGCTGGAAAAGTGTCAAGACCGAAGTGGATACATTATTAGAATGCAGGTGGAGAGACTGCTTTCAATAATGGTCATTCAATTTGACAAAACATTACACAATAAGCTAGTGTGTGTTACCTGGTACTTGCACAAGACAGTGTAGTCAGTGTTGGACAAAAAATTGATGCCGGTACCCTAATTCAGCACAACCCTACCACTAACCCTACCCACAGCGTACCTTAATCCTAAATGCACCATCCCATTTCAGACACTAATGTATTGAGAAACACATTTTTGTAATCAATCAAACAAACAAAACAAAATGCATCCTTCCTGTGTGGCAGTACAATTTTACACAACTGTACCAAAACCGGTACACTATAGTTCATAATCTGAAGTTCTTAAATTCATTCAAGTCCAAGCTGGTCCGCCTAAACCAAAAACCCATTTTCTTAGGGTGGCAGAGAATCCCAAAGCACTGATATACAACTCCCCAAATATACCTTCAATGCCAGATGATGTCCCTTTTTAGGCTGGATTTACATTTTAAGAGTCAAGGATCTTCCTCTGTGCACAGATTGCAACCATTTAATATGTGGTTCAAATGGTTGCATTCTGTTTTATTTAAGTACATTTACATGAGCACATTAAATGTACATGAATAAAATATTGCATAAACTGAGAGCTTCCTGTAATCACAATATTTAAAATGTATTACTTGGCAATGGGCTGTTATTGCTGCTTCTCTACAGGTATTTTCAGAAAGGGAAGGAGCCTATACTACATTTTACATTTTTAAGAAGTTGTGCATGATTTCTGGGGACAGGCATCAATTAATCTAATCCATCACAACCTTTGCAGTAATACAATTAACAATCTTATTTTAAAGCCAGAAAAACTGTACTTGGTCTCAACAACTAGAAGTGGAGGCACAATTTCACTATGAAATGAAGACCAAAATTGCATGGTTAATACAACTTCATTTGCACCGCTGCAACTGTGCGAGCAAGTCGTGCACAAAAACAGAACCCTAAGGCCATGTTCAGCCCAACATTAGCACTGTGTGAAAAAAATCAAGCCCCTCATCCATTTTAATGAGACAACTGCACTGGCAAAGGGGAAGTGACCACCCAGAGGGTTCAGACAAAAAAAAAAAAACAGTATGAACCTGGCTCAACTTTTGCTGCAACACAATGCAACAGTGGCTGTAGTTGCAAATCAACCAGCACACCTTGTAGATCATCTTATAATGTGAACATCGTTATTCTACTGGTATATCTCATTGTCTCACCAGTATACCCACCAAGCTCTATATTTTTAGAGTCTAAATGGTCTGGTAAGGGTCCCTATTGAGGTAATGCAGTTAAAATACAGTTTTTTGTCTTACAATGAGACATGCTATCAATGGTAGAAACTGGTCCCTTTTTAATAACTGATTAATGAACAAAACAACCTACTTTGTCCACCTTTCAGTGTGGCACATAGTGCTGCATACGGACATTGTGGCAGCATGTCAGCCCTGCTCTTTACTCATAAACTAGATCTAAGGGGTGTGAATATACTGACTAACGCTGGTATTCTTTGAGATAGGCACTCTCACTAGCAGGCTACAAATTCCACTAAATGCTGGTCCAAGTGATTAAACCACTGCCAGCCCTTCCTAATACACTGAAACATGTGCATGAATTGTACTGACACAGAGACACGAAGCACTCTCTGATTACTGCCTACACGTTAATGTGAAACACATCTTCATCTGACACATATTTTAATCATACTTGAACTTCCGCTGATGATTATTTAAAACATGTCTCATCCTATCTGGACAAATAAAATAAAATGACACTATGGTTTCAAAGCTAAAGTTTAGCAAATGTCTATATTTCAGACTGTATTCCCAAGGGTATGAGTCAAAAATAAAGCAATATTTAGCCTTCTATGGAGTTCTGTGGTGCATATTTTTATTCAAAGCAGCAGCAAAGACAAAACAACCCTGGATTTAATGACAAATGAAGCAGATTCAAAAAGACTAATCCCCTAAAGACCTGTTAAATGTGACAAATCTAACATCTAATGCAAATTAAACATTAAAAATGTCACCATGACAAAATAAATCTTTGCCCATAAACCCATTTAAACAAGACACCAAGCCTAACCTTTCACTGCAACACAACCTTGAAATAAAGCGCATTTAGCAGACACAAAAAACATAAAAATACATTAACTCCAGGACTTTGTTTTGCTTGACATTTTAAAACAAAGCCACGTCTCTCAATGCTAAACTTCACTCAGTCACCCCTGACACCAGTATTTGCGTAAAGCTTTGAATCCACAAACAAACCAATAGGGCACTATGGAGCGTTTTATGTTTCTAACACCTAACAGACTCCAATCTCCAAATTCAGCGCTCTCGAATCTCACCATTATCTCATTGTCCCCCAATACAAATAAACTGCATCAGCGTTTTCGGTGTGAAGCTGCCAATATAACAACCAAAGGGCTGGTCTGAAGCTAAAACCTTAAACCTGCACAAGATTTGAATCCAACAACAGTCTCATTTTCTCTCCTGCCCGCAAAAGAAAATGGGTTTCTGCTGAGGGAGATAAATGGAAGGGTGCTAACTCAAAGTCCCTGTTGTCAATAAGACGTGTGAATGCTTGCACTGTCATTGATTTAGTGGGTATTTCATCAACACTTGTGAGGTGTCATAAGGCATGAAAGGCACATTTAAACAGGGATGTGACTACGTGCAAAGTAACAAATACACAGTAACACCCTGCATACATTTTCACATTTCTTAAATAATGTGATGCTTGCAATTAAAGGTAAACATGCTGCATTAAAATGGATTTAATTTTTATTTGTTAGTTGTTACTACATAATGTACTTTAGTTGCATAGGCTACTACAGAGCTGCCAACTCTCATGCTTTCGCCGTGTGACACACGGTTTTGCCGGTTTTCACACGCACTCACACCACACATCCAGTTTCTCACGCAAAAAAAATGTGATCTTGGGCCGAGACTCTTTCGTTCCTTTTTAAACTCCCCGACGGTAGATGGCGCTGATGAGTGCCACTGAACCTTATGCGCTGCACCCATATATGCTGCACCCCGCTCTATATATACACTCTATGGCACCCCAAAAATTAGCGACAGAAGAAGAGATACCGAGAAAGACAACGTGAGAAACTACCTCGAGAAGTCTGATGAGAATCTGAGAAGAGATTAGGTATGCAACAATGAAATGTTGTCCAATTGAGTACTCGCTCTCTTAAACTTTATATCTTGAAACAAATTATTTGTTTGTGTTTGTGCATGTGAACATGATTTAGTGTGGTGAAAGCTGTCATAACAAGCAGCAGGAGACCCGTTTTTGGCTGAACATAAATCATGAAGTGCTCTCGAATACAATTATTCACAACATAGGTTAGGTTTCAGTTAAGAATTAGTTTAATACCATTCTAATCAAAATATCAATC